TCGCTTGAGCCCAGGAGTTGGAGGTTGCTGTGAGCTGTAATGCCACAGCACTCTACCCAGGGGGACAGCTTGAGGCTCCTGTCTCAAAAAAAAAAAAAAAGAAAAGAAAATAAGTGTTAGGGCGGTGCCTATGGCTCAAAGGAGTAGGGCACGGGCCTCATATGCCAGAGGTGGTGGGTTCAAACCCAGCCCCAGCCAAAAACTGCAAAAAAAATAAATAAATAAAACAAAATAAAATAAAAATCAAGTGTTGGTGATGTGGACAAAAGTGGAACACATAGTGTTGTTGGTGAGAATGTAAAATGGTGTAGCCACTAATGGAAAACAGTATGATGGACTCTCAAAAAATTAAAAATAGAATTACCATATGATTTAGTAATCCATTTCTAGGTATATACCTAAGAGAACGGTAAAGGAGGAATTCAAAGAGATATTTATGTACCTATATTCATAGCTGTGTTATTAACAATAGCCAAAAAAAAAAGGCAGAAGCAACAAAGGTATCCATGGATGGATGAATGGATAAATAAAATGTGGTATTTAAATACACAAACACACACACAGTGAAATATTATTCAGCCTTAAAGGGGAAGGAAATTCTGGCTTGGTGACTGTAGCTCAGCAGCTAAGGTGCTGGCCACATACACTAGAGCTGGCAGGTTCGAACCCAGCCGGGAACTGCCAAACAACGACAACAACAACAACAACAACAAACATAGCTGAGTGTTGTTGCAGGTGCCTTTTATCCCATCTACTTGGGAGGCTGAGGCAATAGAATCACTAAAGTCCAAGAGTTTGAGGTTGCTGTGAGCTGTGATGGCACAGCACTCTACCAAAGGCAACATATTGAGACTCTGTCTCAAAAAATAAATAAATAAATAACAAAAAAAAACCCAAAACTTACATGAAAACTATACATTCTTAAGGAAAAACCCATAATTGACTATAGAGAAATGGAAAACTTAGAATTTTAGAATATAACAAATTAAATTATTACTTCAAATTCTATTCTCAAAATCCCAGGCCAAAATGAACAAATATCTACCAAACATTCAAAAAAGAAATAATTTTGGCTCAGCGCCCATAGTGCAGTGGTTATAACACCAGCCACATACACCAGGGCTGGCAGGTTCCAGCCTGGAGTGGGCCTGCTAAACAACTACAATTAAAAAAAAAAAAAAAAGCTATGCGTTGTGGTGGGCACCTATAGTCCCAGCTACTTGGGAGGCTGACACAAGAGAATTGCTTAAGCCCAAGAGTTTG